GACAGATAGCAAATTTTAGACTTGTGTCTTCTGCTCTTGCCTTTAATAGCCGAATCTGTCTTTGCTTTTCTGAGTGTTTTGAGTTAGTTGAGTCCTTTTTAATCACAGGTCAGATTGACAAAATCCAGCAGCTGTTTCCTGGCCATCCTGGTGGTAAAACAAGTTTGTGCTGTAAGGGAGTGGGAATCAGCAGTGTGTTACCTCCAGCTTTGAGCGTTGGTGCTGGAGCTGTGCTTGGACAAGCATGAGGAGTAGCTGTGCTGAGTTGGCCTCACTGCTGACCTTGCAGGTGTGGAGTTGTGGTGAGGCAGTGACAGGGCTGTGCAGTCCTGGGACTGGGAGTCTCTGCCAGGGGCTGTTTCTGCCCATGGGGAACAGGTTCCTGCTGGGAGATGCCAGTTCAATCTGAAAGCCTTTTTGTGGAGCCACTGTTGCTTTTGTGTATTCCTGAAATCTCAGTTCAGTGATTTGTGATCTGGAACAGAAAGAATGCTCAGTTCTAGTCTGTTCCACAAGTAGAAACAGCTGCTTTGGGCTTCTAGAACTGCAGATACCACCACCTCCCAGGTGTTTGTCCGGGCCTCAGCACTGCCTGAGCGTCTTCCCCACCAAAAGGTCCTGGTGCAGCCTCTCTGGGCAAGTGTGTGAGGAGCAGAGCTCGGGGGTTGTTTCAGGATATGAGTTGGGTAAGATCTGCTGTTTCCATCGTTGCTGGTCCTTTCTCCTGCATTTTTAAACTGCTCTGCAGTCCAGAGGAACCTTGCTGTTTGCTTCCCTACAGGGGAAGGTCAGGAATGAGTTTCAGCTAAAGGATTTCTCAGTTATGTGAAGAAACATTCTGTCAGTTGGAAACAGCAGCAGAATTTTCATTACGTGGTTGAAGTGATGTCTTCTGGTAGGTGTGTTTTGGTCTAAGGGAGGTTCCTGCCTGGAGGAATAATACACTGAAAAATGGAGCATAAATTGTGAAATTCTTGTGTATTGTGTGTGATCCTGGAGCAAACCCACCCACAGCAGCTCTGGGTCTCAGACCATCACCATGATTCGGTCTGCAGAGGGAAGGGTTTTGAATGTCTCACACTAGATCACAGGAGTGGCTGCTCATGGTGCTCTACAGTATTTAGTCATACCCAGCTCATGTCAGTTCAGTACAGAACCATTCTGGTGGAGAGAGCTTTTTGTTTTAGCTATCGTGTCAAAGTGTGTCTGAGAGTTGGGTTTTTGTTTGGGCCTTATGTAAAAGGTCAGAAGGCTTTTCTCCTCCTCTTCAGACAAGCAGCATGGTGCAAGCCAAGGCAGAGCAGGGATAGCTCCAGGCACATGCTGCCTTCCAAAGGCTTTTCAAGGCTGTCTTGAGAAGTAATTTCATTTGAGTCTCTCTTCTGTGCTGAAAGTGGATGGAAAGATCTCATGTCCCTTTGGTTAATTCAGACAAGGTGATTAGCTTGGAGGGGAGGTACCACTTTACTTTGAACCACTTCTGCCCTACTTGTGAAGGCAAGCTCAGAAAAAAAACCCCCAAATTTCTGTGCTCCCAACTCTAGCACTGCCAGTTTCATTTCCATTTCTGTCAAGCCCTGAGCAGCTGCAGAGTGTGGCTGTGGATGGGTTCGGCTCCCACGCAGTGCTGGTGGGTTCTGGCAGCCTGGGCAGGGCAGCAGAGGGGTCAGGTTCAGTTAGCACAGGGTAGCAGTGGTGCAGAGCTTTCCTGCTTCACACCCTGGCCTGCTCAGGACAAGCAGTCAGACTTCAGTATCTTTCATGCAGGTGAGACTTGGCTGAAGGTGATGCAGGTGAAACTGTGGTTTGTTTTTCTCCAGCGATCTCTTGATTTTTGTAGCCAAACAAGCAAAAGCAACTTAAGGTAGATGAGGGAAGAACCTCATGCTTTAGGAGGCTCTGCTTTAGTGGCCTTTGAGACCATTTTGCTGTTGGCACTCAAACTGGTTGTACAAGATGAAAAAGATTTTGCTGCTTGTATTTGGTTATCAATCCTGAAGGTTCCTTGCAAGGTGTGTTGAGGGGATAAACGTGAGATGTTAGGTGTAAAACTGTGCTTTTGGATCTGTAAAGGGATTCTCTTTGGTAAGTGCTCTGTAATTACATATTAAATACATCTTGCAAGTGGACTCATGTTTCTCCCGTGTTGCTGTTGTTTGCAGAATACACTGATGATAGTGCCCTGATCCCCAAGAACTCATCGGTGATTGTGAGGAGAATCCCCATTGGAGGAGTTAAAGCCACCAGCAAAACATATGTTATGTAAGTACCCTGAGGTGCTGGCTGCCTTGGGAGGGGTCGGTGTGACAGCAGGGTGCAGAGCCACTGGGGTTGTACTTGCCTTGTTAGAGCTGCTGCTGGTCTTCCTTGTCATGGGGGAGATTTTCATCTGTCTGTCCCAAAGGAGACTTAGATTTTGAGGCCTGTTGGGACATGGGGTTCAGACTCCAACAATGGTAACTTTTAAGGTGATTCTGTTGAGCTTGTTATGGAGTTGATTTTTCTGAGATCCAAGTGCAGATCCTGTTTCCTCTACATGGGGAGATTCCTTCTTATATGTGCTTAGCTTTTTGGTAAAGTCAGTGAGGCATTGTAGTGTAAGCTTAGCATTTGTTCCCATCTCAGGAGAGTCTGGTCTTGGGGTTGTGACTCTTTCCTGCTTCTGGGGGAGGTGGGGCAGGGTACCACAGGTATTTTTGTGCCTCAGAGCGGGGGGATAGTTGCTGTAGAGGAAAGACCAAGAGTTACAAACAAATTTCATCCAGAAGTGAATCCTGTTAGTTTCCTAAGGACTATGTGTGTCCCAGGCAGGAGACAGAGGACCACACCTTGAGGTGTACTGGCTTTTCTGCTAGTACTCTGAAGGATTGGTTCATCCTCTCCAAGCTTGAATCCTAGAAGCAATTAGCACATTGCCAAATGTGCTAGTTACCTCTCTGAGTCTGTCTGTGCCCACACTGATGTCTGTGCTCCAGGTTTTAATTCAGTATTCCTAAGATTTGCAGAGGACAGAGAATCAGGTGTATTGATTAATATCACAGATACTCAAATGCAGTCCTGACTACAGGATCATTGCTGCATTGATGTGTTCATACATTCTAGACCTGTAAAAGCTAATAGCCCTGCTGGAAAGCTCCTGTTTTCCAGGCTCCTTAAAGCCATGCCCTTCACCACCACCGCCAGGAGATATTGTTGTGTTTTTGCCCTGTCTTGCTAATGTTGGTTCTCCATAAACAGAGTACCCTGAGGAGTTACAATGTGTCTTGAACAAACAGTACAGCAACATCCTGGTACCCATGAAGCATTTGCAAGCAAAAAGCCTGAGTTGATGTGGCTCAGCGTGTGACCTTCAGGCACATTGCTGCAGGAGTTGGTGCAGTGCTTTGAGGCACTCGCTCGTGGCTGGGGACACCACAGCACTCTGCTTGTAACCACGGCCTGGATTTGGGGTTAGGTTTGACGTGTGCTCAGTGCTGTCTTGTCAGTATTCCCTCAACTGGTGCTGTAATGCTGCCCTGAAATGAGAGGGTAGAGGCTGCCAGCATCAGAGATCCCACCAGTACCCCTGTGGGGATCAGTAGAGAGCAGCACTATTGTAGCAGAAAATTTACCAGATAGATGAGCTTTGTGGTCCTTCAGCTGGAAACCACAACTGGTGGAGTGGGCGATGTTTGGGGCTGGGGAATGCCTGCTGTAATGGTGCAGAGCCCTGCAGAAGGGCCTTACCCACCTTGCAGTGAATGGCTGAGGCAACCACTGTGTGTTAATCCAAGATATGTCTGTGTACGTCCTCATGACAGGAGGTACGTGGTGTGTCTGGTTGCCTGGGTGTTCTAGCAGTGGCAGGAAGTTGAGCCTTTCCACTGCTCCCTAAATTCCCCAGCAGCCTTTGCCTTGCCTGTGCTCATGGGACTCTGGATGCTGTGTGGACTGTTTGTTAGCTCCCTCAGTGGTTGCATGTGTGGTTCACGACGAGGAGCATGCAGGTACAGACCAACGAGTATGTGGAATCTCAGCAAGTTGTCAAATGTAATACATATTTCCTAAAATACCGTAGCATTTTCAAGATTATCTTAAAGCAAATTCTGGAAATTAAGACCTTTTTTTTTGTCACAGGACTCCTAAATCGCACAAAATCCTAGAAACTACTTTCAGGTGACATTTCTACTACTATTTTTAGTCAATATAGCATATGTAACATGTTTAATATTTTGGCTCTTTGATGGCTAAATCTAGTAGATCTGAACACAGTGCTTGGGCTTCCACAAAGAAACACTGTTCTAGAGTCTGTGCTGCTGACACTGTTGTGTTATCCTCTGTCACATGACTCTGTTTGTCACTGAAGCAAACTTGCACTTGTAGATGATCACTGCTCTTTCCTAGAGACTGAAGTCCTGTCCCTGGTGCCTGTGTGTAGTGCCAGGGGTGCACAGGGTGGCCAGAGCTGCCTCCATGTGGTGGGGATTGATTGATTAAGGACACACAACTCTGCTACAGACTCCATGGGTTTGGTGCTTAGCAGAGACTTTATCTGAGGACTTTCTCTTGCACTGTTGTGTTCTAGATCTGTATATCTTGAGTAATTTGTGACAAGGTAGAAATGTGATTTTTTGGGGTTTTTTTAGTTGCCCTGAACGTACCAAGAGAAAATGGTTCATGTATACAAACGAATTTGCACGTTCAGTAGAGTATTGGAGCAGAATGTTGTGATGATCAGGTTCTAGAGTCTTTGTGCTGGGTACAAGTGCTTTGGTTTAATTTCTGATCACCTTTATTTCTTCTTCTAGAAGTCGAAGTGAGCCAGTGAGTGGGACATCAAAAGCAGTATGTAAAAACACAATCTCACACTTTATTTCCTACACACTGCCCTTAATTCTAAGCAATGCAGCCTTTTATTAATTTACCAAACGTTAACTTAATATATTTTCCAGTAAAACCTAGTGTATGTTGTAAATACATTGTATTTATTCAGCATAGTAAAAACTGAGTAATGCCATCATTTGCAGAGTTCTAATGTGAATATTGGTATTTGTGCCTAGCAATGCATTGTATTTCCTATGGAATATGCCAGAATCTCTCCTGTATGACTCTGTGTTGTACAGATAATGTATGATCGTTGCAGATCCTGTAGGCCTGAGGTTTGCACACGAACATGGTGCCATGTTCTACATCTGTCTGTCTATAGCTAGTGATATGTATGTTTGTATAGGTTGTTGTGTGCTTTTTGTTTCTTGCAATAAAAACTGTTTGGAGTGTATTTTTTGCCATTTTCACATTGTATCACTTAGCTTTTGTTTTTCAATACCTTTTTTTTGCCTAATGGTTTTTGAGAATGTTATCAAAAACCACTGAGAAACCATTACTGTGAAACTTGCTGCTGTTCTTACTTTTGACTTGGGGTTCAAACAAATACCAAACCCAGCATATCCCAGACCTTTTGAGGACAGTTCTGCGCAGCTAAATGATTCCTTCTTATGTCACTCAATACTTGGGTGTTTGTTCCTAACACTGTATAACTGAAGTGCTGTTGTTTGGGCCCCTCTGAGTACAGAAATGTCTTTACTAGCCTGATGTGAATTTCGATGTCGTTGCTCTCAAGTGGTATTCTAAAGTTCTGCGTTTGCTCACTCCCCTTGCCTGGTGAAGCAGTTTAGTTCAATAGCTGGGCTGCAAATGACCAACGTGACCCAAATTTTGGCACCAGGTTAGAGCCTGGGGCGTTTGGGGGTGAAATCCCTGTCACTTTTCTTACCCTGCGCCTGCAGCACGGTTCTGGATCTGGGTGACTCCGGGGTTGGGTGCTGCTGGAATTCCCAAAGCTTAAGCTTTTCTTTAGTATACCACCACTTGGAATTCACCTTTGGAAAAGGGGCAGAATTTTCTGTCAGGTTTGCAAACACTGTTGTTGTGCTGCTAACACGAATCCCACTCAGACCAGTGCCTGGTGATGGGCTAGATCTCAGTGAGCCACGTGGGTACCGTGTGTAACTGTGCTTTGTCCACAGCCCTTAGGGGATCCAAATACCATTTGCTGGGGTTTGTTTTTCATCTTTATTTTAAGTATAACTGCTTCTCCTTCACTAGACTGGTGTGAGGCATTACACTAACCCTGGATCATTGGATCTGAGTGCTTGATCAGCTGTTAGGATCATTTAATGTAGAAATTCCTGAACTCTGGGGCTGTGTTCTGGGAAGAATGCAGCCGCTGGTTCCCATGGAAGCAATCAAACTCAAATTGAAAACTCTGTGTGTGTAGGTCTAAAACCACTAAATGTGACATCCCTAATTCTATTGCTGATTGGTTGGAATTCCTTTTTGGACATGAATGCCTCTCACTGTGAGTCTGAGTTAGCTGAACTGGCCCAGTGACCCTAGCAGTTAATGTAATGCATTGATGTAAACCACGTTTATAGTATTGATCTAATTCAGATGGGTTTTGATTTCTGAAAACAGTTCTTTTTCTTTTTGTTCACTAGCATGTGTATAAACACAAACCACGTGTTCATAAATAAAGTTAACGTTCTTTTAGCCTCCTGTGTTCCCTGGCATGTCTGTATTACATTGCTAAGTAGCATCTTATTGTAAGCCAACGTAGATATCTCAAAAAAGGCAAAAGGAAAAATCCTGGAGTGGGAGGGAAGACCTAGTGAGAGTGAGAACTCAGGAGAGTAATGAAAGGCAGAGCTCAGCCATTCCCTGGTGTGGGAGGGTGGGAGCCTTGCAGCCCTCTGGACAAGCCCTCTCTCTCTCACTGTAAAAGCCTCAGGAGCTGCTGGAGACACAAATAGTTCGTTCTTAAAGCTGAGTCAGGTCTTGGCCTAAAGTGGGGTGGGTTCTTTGCCTTACTTTTTTAAATGCACCTATTTCTGCATGTAATTCAGAGCAGAACCTGGGTCTGGTAGGTGTAGGAGGAGTAAATCTAGAAATCTTGTCAATTATTGATGGGCAGCAAAGTTAAAGTCAGTTAAGATTCTTTTTTGAAGGGTGCACAAAAGCTTCTACTTTTGAACTTTTCTTCATTGTCTTACTCTTAGATCAGTTCTCATTCCACACTTACCTACGTGTGCTCCTGTGCTGCTGCTAGCACAGCCAAGGCAGAACTGTGGCCTGCCTAGGGCAGTGTCAGTGTTCGTACTGCAGCAGTCCAGGTTGGCATTGTCCTTGGGGGCTGCAGAAGGGCAGAGCTGTACCTGTGGGTTTAGTGCCCTCAGGCAGCTCTGGGATCCTTCCTGGCTGAATTTTCAGTTCAGCTGTGGGGTTTGAGGAAAGCTCTGTGATTTCAGTGCAGCACTCAGCAGTGAGGTCAGCCTTTTCCTCCTATTTTCTGCTTCATTTCAGGTTTTGTTCAGTTTGCTGGGTGAAGTGGGAGTTAATCCATCAGCTCTCCAGTCTAGGTGTTGGAGGTTGTTTTCTACGGGTTTTTTTCCAGTTTTGCTGCTGTGTTGTTACCTTAGGTTGCATACAGGTTCATGAAGATGATGTTGCTGCTTGACTGTTGTGAGGGACTGCCAGAAATCCTGCAGCAGAAATTTAAAGGGAGAAAAATAGACAAAAATGTGGGATCATGGAAAGGTGGCCATTGGGCACATGCTCTTAAAAACTTACAAACCAGTTTAATTATCTGTTTGCTGTTGTTGATAATTGTTCAGTATCATCTGCTTTAAGAACTCAGACTGCTGCCTGCAGGCCATATAATAATTGCTTCTGAAAAAGTGCAGAACTAATTAATAGTTTATTAGCTGTTGTGTTTCAATTGCTGGTCAGGACTAGATTGTTTAATGCCAGAGCTTTCCTAATTTCTTGTTGGCTTCTGAAACACCACAAAATGATGGCTGTGCCTGCCCTGAGAGGACATTGGCCTGCTTTTCCACATGTAAGAAGTGATGTATGGAACAGGAGGCTTTGGAATCTTTGAGTAGGATTCTTTTGCACAGAACTAGGTACAGAGAGTTCTGGAAAGGAGGAGAGGTAAGATAAGATATGCAGTGGAGCAAAGGTCTCTGTAGATCCGGGTGTCCCTCTCCAAAGAGAGGTTTTCAGGAGCTCTTTAGTCAGTAATGCAGGGATACTATGTATTTTCCTGAAAACAGAGGAGGAGGAACTCAGGGGAGTGAGGAATCATCTTCTGCATGGAGATGTTTTTGCCAGAGTCTGCTAAAACTGCTCCCTTGAATTCTTCCTCTGCATTAGGTAGTAAAGCACAAGAGCTTTCTTAAGGACAGGTTTTTAATCTCTTTGCTGACCAGTTTAGTGACCTCTTGGAGAGCTGTGCAGTTCACATTGTGAAATTTTGTTCTACATTTTTGAGCAATTTAGATGTAATAAGCAGTGATTGCAGTGTCTTTCTGGTGGTTTGACTAGTGTCAGCTTGAGTGCTGCTCATGGCACAATGTAATTCAGTAACTGGAGAAGGAGCTAGATCAGAGTTGTGCTTGTTCCTTGTGGGAAGTCTGCCCTTCAGTGCTAGCAATGCAGGCTCTTCGTAGTTGCTGGCCTGAGACTTCATTCCTGAGAGCTGTTCCATAGGCAGCTGGGAGGAGAAAAATTGAGACAGAAATTCCAGGCTTGTGCTCTGAATCCGTGTTTTCATCATCAGGAAGATGCTTTGTGCTTTCTTCTTTTGTTCCTTTAGCGCTGGGCTGCTGTTAAAGATCAAGTCTGGTCTGATAGCAAGGAATAATCTGAATTCTCACACTTCCCAGACTGTTCTGGGGGTAGGCCCTGTGGTCTGATAACATATGAGAAATCAATTCTCTCCATTTTTATAGTCTGTTCTGTCATTATAGGCACCTTTATGTAAATGATTTAAGTAGTTGTTTGGGTTTTTTTCCAGACAAAGTAGAGGTTACTTTTGTGGCTGATGTTTTAGGTGGGGGTTTATTTGGGTACTGGCAGGAGGGGCAGAGTGTATGTCTCAGGTCTGCTGGGTTCACTGAGACAGTCACTGATGCATTTACAAACTACATGACAAATAAGTCACTGGGAGTGATGCTTCCTCCTTGATTAAGCTTAAATACTTTCTTTAAATCCTTTTTAGCTGAAAATTGGCAGATCCTTAGCCCTTTGCCTTTTGCCAGGGTCCCTCTCTGAGATATTCTGAGCAATAAATTGTCTCTAGTGGGGTGGGTTGTTTTAATTTCTTCCCATATCCACATGGGAACTCTTAAGCCTTCCTAGATTTGAACTTTGTTTTGATTAAATATGAATTACACTGGGTTGGAATTGCCTCTTTGGGTGACACTCAGGGGATGTAGTATAGACTTTCAGACTATAGTAGAGGTTAACTATTGCTGTGTTTTGACTGTAGAACTTGAATATGTGTTTAATTTTTTGTGAACAGATTGATGACTCTTCTGCATCTATTCTTATATATATATATATATATATATATATTCTTGTCAAATACTTTAAAAAGTGTTTGCTTCCTATTTTTAAATTGCTGCTGTGATCTATAGCTGGATAACTGTTGTAATTGAAAAAACACTCTTTAATTTTTAATAACTCTTAAGTATTTATTTTAACTTTAAAATGTGTATATATCTTGACACTATCCTGTAAAGAGTAGTTCCCAGTTTGGGAAGATAGAAGGGGAGTACCTTATCAGCCTCAGCATAATGTTGCAGTATTACTCATCCTCAAGACACAAAGAAGAAGCACTGCAGAAGCTGTTTTACCACTTTTCATACGTTTCATAAATTTTGCGTTGGAAACTAACCCAGTTTGTCCAGAAGAATTTAATTGGCTGTAAGTTCCGGACATTCCCGGGGGGTTGGACCAGCCACAAGAGAAGCGGTTCTGTACCATGGACAATTGCATGGCTATTTTTGATTCCTAGTCATAGTTACAGACCCATTCTCTGAATGCTGCACAATTCCGTAAATTGTGGGATCTATACAGAGGACAGCCCAAGCTAATTTGTTTGAACGCAGACTGTGAATTGTGTAAGTGTACCTCATTGTTATAGGAATATACCAATGTGTGTGTGTGGCATCTGAGCAGCTGTGACCTTCTGAAACTGTGTAATGCCATGTGTTGCTCGGGAACTGCTTGCATTTTTGCTCAATGATGTGTAACTTTGTCTGGGGAAGCACTAGTGACTGCACTGTGTGGGCAGGCGAGTGCTCAGCCACCAGTCCCTACAGCTACAGGCGTTAGAGCAGGCAGGGCCTGAGGCAGGGCAGCTAGTTCTTAGTCCACAAAATGAAGACTGGGGTTCATTTCCAATGAAAAGCAATCTCTTCCCGCTGGTAACTTTTTCCCTCTTCACTACAGAAATTAAATTGGCCGAAAGAAAATGATATATATCTGTAGTTTGGCAGGTAGCCACCAAAAGCAATTGGTCCCCATTAGTGCTGTCCTTAAACACGTCCTCGGGTCTGTAACCTTGTGAATTTTACTCTAAAGTGCACCAAGCTGTCCCAGGGATGTACACAGCTAAGCTTCTGAGGCAATGCAAGTGTTTCAGCACAGTCCAGGAGGGTAACACGGAGCAGCTCAGCACTGTCCCACCCTAACCCCTCTAGTGCAGCCTGGCTCACACAGAGGCCATGTGGTAACAGTTCTCTGGTTATTACTACTGTGTATGAAATGCCATATTGGGATTTTGGTCTATTCCTACTAATGTTTTGTGGCTTTTGGATGTGTTTTGTAAACCGTTTGGGTTCAAACAAATTAGTCGATACTATGTGTAAAGCTTTGTGTAACTGTTGATGGAAATGGTTTCGTAGCTGGCGATCCGGATTCTGTTACTGTGGAGAAAAACTGTGTATATGAAACAACCATTTAATAAAATGTTGAAACTAGTTGGTTGCTTTTGTGAATGAATGCACACAAACCAAACCATGAGTGCTTGAGCTGAGTGATAGGTGCTTGAAGGTCCAGGTCATTGACAGTCACTCCCTTAGACCCTGCTTGTATCTGGACTAGTGTGTAATAAAAAAAGTTGAACAAATACTGCTGAAAAAATCAGCTGACTTCAGTAATGTGAAGATCTAGTTCTGCAGAAGGTTTACGTTACAATTTGGGTGTTAAAAGGACACAGTCAACTGGAAAATCCTGCAGGTGGTGGTCACTGTAGTTAAATCACTCGATAGAAGTGAGTAGGGGGAACACACAGTTTGGGCTGACTGCAGCTCCTGATGGCCAAATTTCTGCTGAAAAGGATCTTTTACCTTGCGGAGGGATTGTAAAAGGCTTAGGACCTTTGTGTCCGAGTTCCAGCTAGCAAACCCAGCTGCCCCACCTCTGCAGTTGTGTGTCCTTTTAATGCTGCAAAATGTAAATAATGCTGCTTGCATCATCCTAATTCCATGTCCAGTGGAAACATACTGTGTTTTTTCAGTCTTCTGAAGGAAATTGGATTGGTTACACAAGTCTTGCTGTAAGGTACAAACAGAGCCTAAGGTGTGAGTGCCCAAGAATGCTCTTTTCTAGTAGGTTCTCAGGCACATAAACATCATGTCATGGCATAAGGACTCCCCAGAACATCTTCAGCACAAATGTGTTTGGTATTAGCAGCTGGTTTCATGCAAGCTCAGCTAGTGTAGTGCTGCTCTTTACAGGATTGGATGAGTGGTGTTGTCTTTGGCTGTGTGGGCTTAAATGTGTTTCTAATGTGTGTGTCAAATAATTACCTGTTGAACAGACTGCCAATCTGGCTGAAGCCAATGCTTCCGAGGAGGATAAAATAAAAGCTATGATGACACAGTCTGGCCATGAATATGATCCAGTCAAGTAAGTGTCGCTCATGTGAAACCTGTGCTTTGAAGTAGATGTAGAAATTGTAGAGCTCTCTCTTTAAACAAGACACACATGCATCCCTTCTTCTTTTTTCCCTCAACTTGCAGTTACATGAAGAAGCCTGTGGGGCCACCTCCCCCCTCATACACCTGCTTCCGCTGTGGCAAGCCCGGGCACTACATAAAGAACTGTCCGACCAATGGGGTAAGGTCTGGGGGACTCGTGGGTCATCAGGGGTTCCCTCTTTACCTTGAGGGTTGGGTAACAGTCACAGGAATGCTCACAGCTAGGGTTGTTCATGTGGAGTGAAATAGGGTTGTGTGGCAGAGCCCTTCGGATTCAAGGGAAACCTGGGATTGCAAATGTAAAACTCTGTTTTCACTAGGTCACAGGCATTAAATATTCCCCTAGATCTTTCTCTGTGAACCCCTGTCTATGGTTTGATACATCTCAATATTACTGGAAATTCTCCTCTGTTTTTAACTCTTCTTTTTTTTTTAATGACAGTCCATCTTTTTAGTGTTTTGTGTAAAAACAAGATGTTTCTGTATTTCTCCTCTATTGACTATTTGCAAGTTTGAGTTATGCTGATCTCTGTTCAGCATGGGTCAGTGACTGTGTGTGCATGAGACATGAATTCAGCCTTCATCTATCAGTGCCTTATATAAGTTTCCTTGAGCCCTGAGTTCAGTTCCCTCTGAACTGCCTTTTGGAGGAGAAGTTGGTTTGGGGAACCAAACCAACCAGAAATTAAGTCAAAAAATGTCATTAGGTTCCAAACACTGCTCTGGGTCTGGAACATCCTGGGCACATTTCTTTAGGGAAATCAGTGTTTTTAACAGCTCTTAGACTAGGTAGGACGAGGGAGTTAAAGGCTTTGGTGCTTGAAGTAGTCATTGAAACACCGTTTACAGTGTTGGTCTTGACATATGTCTGTGTTTCTTAACAGGACAAAAACTTTGAGTCTGTTCCCAGAATTAAAAAAAGCACAGGAATTCCAAGAAGTTTCATGATGGAGGTTAAGGACCCCAATACAAAGGGTGCCATGCTGACCAACACTGGGAAATACGCAATTCCAACCATCGACGCGTAAGTATGGGATTGGCTGGGCTCATCCAGAAAGGGAGGGAAGTGCCCCAGTGGCAGTGCAGCCCCTTTGGCCTGCAGCTGGAATTACTGGGAGGAGGCATTGGCATTGCATCTCTGCTTTGAAGTCCATGATGCTTTCTGATCTGAAAACAATGTGAAACAGGCTGGAGCTTTCCTGTTGCTGCAGCCTAAGAAAACCCTTCCATGTGCTGAAGGCAGTGACTGCTCCAAAAGGCACTGTGTTAGCCCTTCTGGTTTTCTCTCCTGGATGTGCTTTTGTGGAGCTGTAACACAGATGTCTTTCAGTTACGAGATGTAATGACTTAGAGACCATCTTCAACCTGAGCCTCCAATTTACATCTGCCCTCTGGCAAAGGAGAGCTGGGATTCATCTCACCTGGTCTGAGCTGTCAAAGAAATACTGTTATAGTCTGAACTGATTCCTTAGCTGTCCAGTGAGCAGGAGAGTTCTGTAGGAGGAGAGTTGCTCCTCCCTCTCTCTTCTCATGTTGGGTCTGTACAAAAATAGTTCAAACTAAAGCACTGTTGTTAAGAAGGCTGATGGAGAGGGAGAAGAATTCCATGTATTATCTTTGTTTGAGAAAATCCTAAACTTGGGAGAGTTTCCCTTTAACTTTTTTCTCTTGCTTTCTCCACCCTCCCTCCAGGGAAGCCTATGCTATAGGAAAGAAGGAGAAGCCTCCCTTCCTGCCCGAGGAGCCATCGTCCTCCTCAGAAGAGGATGATCCTATTCCAGATGAGCTGTTGTGTCTCATCTGCAAGGACATAATGACAGATGCTGTTGTTATTCCCTGCTGTGGAAACAGTTACTGTGATGAATGTAAGTGTTACTGCCAGGTTTGTTGATTCCAAATACCAAATTTGGTCTTCTGAGGGCAGAAATAGGAGATAATGAAATTGCTATGTTAGTTCCGTGGAATACTTCAGTGTCCTGAACAGGGAAGGACTTGTCCCATGTACAGGGGATGGAAAAAAGGCAGAAAGCTTTTTTCCCTTCTGAGGTATCTAGTTTAATCCTCTTTATCTGAAGAAGGCTGAGTACAGTGCATAATAGTGCAAGTGATTGCAGTGTTAGATAGCAAATGCGTTGAGTTGAAAGGACCTTAAAGCTTATCCAGTCTCACCCCTGCCACGGGCAGGGACACCTTCCACTAGCCCATGTTGCTCCAAGCCCCATCCAGCCTGGCCTGGAACCCCTGAACCTTGGCCCCTCCAGGGATGGGGCCGCCACAGCTTCTTTGGGAAACCTGTGCCAATGCCATTTTTTTGCAGTATTGAAGATAGTTAGCTCCATGCTCTCTGTTCAGGACCGCATGCCCCCATTAATCATGTGCTTGTTTTAAATAATTGATTGGAACAAAAAAAATTTCCTTAGCATGGCTGAAAGCTATTTTGACATTCTGATTCTTTGCAGGTATCAGAACAGCACTGCTGGAGTCAGAGGAGCACACGTGCCCAACCTGCCATCAGACAGACGTTTCTCCTGACGCTTTAATCGCCAACAAATTCCTGCGCCAGGTAACGTGTGGCTTCTCTGTCAGCTCTTTGTTGGAAAAATCTGTCTGTAAAAAGCTGAAAGGGAAGACAATAGTAATTTATATCTCCTTAAGCAAGGCTGAATTGAATAAGGCTCAATTTACTCTTCCAATACATTATCTGTTGCTACTGAAGCTAACAGCTTGTTAGAGACAACCTGGCAAATCCAGGACACACTTCTGTGTAAGGGTTGGGCTCACTTTCAAACTGGGTGTTAACAGCAAAGCACTGCACATACAGACCCCCCGAAGTACCAGTCATTGGTGCCAGAGTTTACTGGGATGTGTTCATAGCTGTGTGTTCATTTGGTTTAGGATTTATGACACTTACAGGAATAGACAGCGATTTTCCTCTGGGGAGTCTTTTGTTTATGTCTCTTCTGAAGTCTCATCTCACCTTTCACACACATTTTCCTACCTCCAGGCTGTGAACAACTTCAAAAATGAAACTGGCTACACGAAAAGGCTCCGTAAGATACAGCAGCAACAGCAGCAGCAGCA